CCGGATCATCAGATGATCAACGTTTAATGTGACCATACCATCGAAGACGACTATCTCTAATTTTGTTCTCCAGTGGAGCTACACCAACCCTATCAAATTTGTCTTCAAGTGTAAAGCCACTCATCCACATAAGCATGCTCACCTCAGCAACACTTAACTTAGTTTTACGCTTCTCTTTTAAACGCCAACATTCTGCACCATGGAGCATTGCAGGTTTCATCACCATTTTAAAAAAATTTCCTTTTAGTCTAAGCGGTACTTTTCTATCACACAATCGACCCGAAGCATTCCTTCACTTCAGTTAATAACTTGAACATCCATAGTTATAACTCTGTCACTAGAGCTGCTACTACTAAAATTACATTTCGTATATTCAGTTTTAGTTCTACTCAAACAAAGGCCTTTAGATTCCAAAGTAGACCTCCATAATTTAAGTTTTTACTGAGCTCTTTCTCTAGTCTTATCCACAAGAAGGATATCATCAACGAAAAACATATACCAAGGTACATCCTGGGAATAAATGTCCTGTCGCTCTTTCTCTAGTCTTATCCACAAGAAGGATATCATCAACGAAAAACATATACCAAGGTACATCCTGGGAATAAATGTCCTATCCTCCTATTCGAACATAAGTACAACTCTAGTATACATATCCTTAATGACTTGAATATAAGTCATATCAACATCTTTCTTCTCTAGAACTCTCCAAAGGATATCTCTTGGGACCTTATCGTAAGTTTTTTTCTAAATCAACGAAAATCATATGTAGATCCTCCTTATTCTCTCTCTCTCCATATTTCTCCATCAAACCTCTCAATAAATGTATAGCTTCTATAGTAGACATGCCTGACATAAATCCAAACTGATTATGAGAAATCTTTGTAAAACGTCTTAACCTATGTTCAATTTCCCTCTCCCATAATTTTAAAGTATTAATTCATTTATAATTTGCACACACTTGTGCATCCCCTTTATTCTAAAAAATGGGGACCAAAATACTCTTCCTCTACTCCTCAGACATCTTTTAACAAAATGGGGACCAAAATACTCTTCCTCTACTCCTCAGTCATCTTTTAAGTTTTTAAAATAATATCAAAGAGTTTAGTAAGCCAAGAAACTCTCAAATCTCCTAAATATTTTCACACTTCAATTGGGATATCATCAAGTCCTACAAACTTTCTACCATTAGTTTTTTTTAAGGCCTCAAAACTTCTTTTTTACTAATGCGACGATAAAAGTCAAATATTTTATTATTATTAATGATATTAAAATCACTAAAGTCGATCATATTTTTAAAATTTTTATTGAAAAGTTCAACAAAATAACTCACTCACCTATGTTGAATATCTTTTTCAAAGATAAAATGCTTTTTTATTTTCATTTTTAATACATTTAATTGAACTCACTCACCTATGTTGAATATCTTTTTCTAAGATAAAATGTTTTTTATTTTCATTTTTAATACATTTAATTGAGTTAGATCGTTACTTTTCTTTTCTATTTATTTGGCTAGTTTATACATATATTTTTTACCCTCATTACTATCTAATTTATTATAAAGATTACAAAAAGTAAAATTTTTAGTCACATATTATTATCTCAGGCTTCTTACGGGCCATTTTATATTTTTCTTAGTTCTGTAAGCTTCTACTTTTAGCTGATTTTTATAACATAACTTCTTATATTTTATCTTTTTTTGCACATTATTATTCCACCACTAATTATTTTTATTTATAAAAATTTTTACTTTTAATTATCCAAGTACATCTTTTGTCATTTGTTTAATAGTGTTTGTTACTTTATCCCACATAAAATTTGCTGCTTCATGAATATTCCAAATCTTGAAACATTGAAGTTTACTTATAAAAATAATTTTATTTGTGTCTTTTAGGTACCACCATCTAATTCTATGAATATGATTCCTAGTATTATTTTGTTTACAAATTTTCATCTTAAAATTCATAACTAATAATCGATATTGAGTATTTAAATTCTCACTTGAAATGACCTTACAATCTTTACATTCTCGACGATCTATTTTTCTCATAAGAAAATATTTAATTTGAGTTTTATTAGATCTATTCTTATAAGTAATAATATGTTCATCTCTTTTCTTGAATAAAATATTAGCAATAACAAAATCATATGTTAAAGCAAAATCTAATATGACTCTACCTTCTTCAATAATCACTCCAAGACCAGTCATCATGAACATTTCTAAAATCTTTTACCGCTCTAGCGACGTCCATTTAAATCTCCTCAAATAAAATTTCTTTCTTCAAGAGATATCATTTGTATTAATTCTTCTAGGTCTATATCTAAACCTACTTGAGGAGCGCATGCACTTATAATATTAAAAATCTTATTATCAACAACAATCTTAAGGACTATAATTCTATCTTCAATTTTATTAATTTTTACAACGTTATCTTTCAAACTCTTATCTATAATTACGCCTATACCATTTCTAGTGCAACCCTTACCTGAATACCAAAGTTTAAACCTAAACTATCAATATCCTTAGTCTTTTCTTTAACCCATTTAATTTCTTGAATACATAAGATATTTATCTTTCTATGAATCATAATATCAACTAATTTCATTAATTTAACCATGAGAGTATTTATATCCCAAGGTCTTATCCTAAAATTAGTTTCATGTACAAACTTCTTTACTCACATCCATTCGTAATGTGGAAACTCTTGCTTATTTGACTCTACACTCAGGCACCGGTATAGCGACCCTTGAACACTTTTCACTGTATTTAGATCATACAGCGTGAAACTTCCAAGGGACGCCCTGAAATTTACACAATGATCAAAAGGATTCATGTCATGATTTTTTGACAAATTTTATGTTATCCGGGGCTTGGGACTACCTAACGCAACTCTCCACTTTTTACATCCAGGTTGCGTTATGTTGTCCGGGGCTTGGGACTACCTAACGGCAATAGTAGTTTTGAATAACTAATTTTGCCAATAATAAAAAATCTCATATAATATGTAATCAGAAGAAGACAGACCAGTATAACTCTGAAAACATAGTTCAAACATATGATGTATATGCTCTAAAGACTGCATCTGTTGCAAGAAAATCTCTCGAATGAAGAAGGTTATTTGATAGTGTTTAATTACCACAAATCCACTAATGATGGGCACTGCACTACCATTCAAATCTCTTTTGGTGTTATGAGACAAAACACAACATGTTTGAAGTTGAAATCTTTCTCTCCTATTCTGCAAAGCCTCAACGATTTTCGCACATAATGGCACTGAATAACGATTTGGTATGATTTGCCTTCCTCCTGATTCGTTGCTACCAATGACAAGCTGCAATAATAATCAACCATCCATGGAAGATGGAGCTTAAGTTTTTCATTTCTGGAGAAAAGAAAAGACAAAAGCAAATAAAGACCAATGGTGGCAAGTCAGACTTCATTAGGCATGTCTTCGAAGCTACCAATCAGATGAACCTGGAAATTGTGTAAAGCCTTGAAATTCAGTCTCAGGAAACTCATCAAAGAAGATTATATGAAAAAAAAAAGAGATAGAATGGGAAACTCATCAAAGAAGATTATATGAAAAAAAAAAAAAGAGATAGGGGGAAAATATACATCGAAAGTTGCATTAACATCACCGTCAACAACAGAAGACAGCATCTGTGTCAGGCCCAAGTCAACTGCTTCTACAAAATCCATATGGGCAATGGAGGTCCTGCAATAAATATGAAAGATCAAAATCACATGTTGATGCATGCATAAGAAATCAACGACATATTTTCAAAGAAGATAGCAATTTCTATAATGTAGTTTAATATCTTCCTTACATTTTAGTTTTATGGTTCCTTATAACGAGACCTGCGCAAGTTGTTGCTTCATCTGTTCCCACAAACTACCAGAGAAAAATCATCTAAAATTACTTATAAACCAAATTTGATAAAGAAAACGAAGTCCTGATATTCTTAGTCTTCATGTTTACTCCAAGAAGTAAATTTCGAGGGAAAAAATTAATAAGAACTAAGTGTGCTTCAAAATGAGTCAATTAAAACATGAAAAAAGTTATAATACCAGCAAAAGTGGAAGCGACATGGCAGAAAAGTTTATGAGAGAGACAGAGGAAACAAGAAAACATATTTCAGCTGTCAGACAGAATTATTCTGGAGTACATCCATAGTATCATCCCATAATTATACCTAACTCATAAAAAAAAAAGGGTAAGTATCATCCCATAATTATACCTAACTCATAAAAAAAGGGTAGATAGCTTTTAGGTTTATTGTCGTTATAATCCTTTTGAGATAGTGTTGTTAGAAGTGCGCTTCACAAGCGGAGATTTATGATACGATGAGGAGGTGCTTCATTTCCGCCTCACAAATTAGTTGGTTCACAAATTTAGTTGGTTCCAAAGTAGATGCGACACACCATCAAGCACGAAAATACGTGAGAGAATTGCTTGCATTTTTTGCAACAGTTTTTAGTTTGGTTTGGATTTTGGTTCAATCAACAGTTCATTAAGATAGAATAAAAGGGATGAAAATCTTAGGCTTAGCGATGGCAATGGCCTATCTATTAAAGCAAACTTATGAGTTGTAGCTCAACTAGGTTTCATTTTCATCAAAAGTGCTAAACTCTGTCTCCATTGTCATCATTCTCCATCAGCAGCACTCACTTCCATCAGTTGAGGTGTCATCTCGATCTTCGTACAGCATTTTAGTATTTGTTTTGTTTACTCGAGGAGCAACACTCATTGCTCAGAATTTTTATTCGGTACGTGCACCGCATGAACCCCTACATGCGGTACCGAATAAAAATTCGCCACACGGAATGCGATTCCACGTGGCTTTACAGCTTAAAAAGTTTTTTATGCCCGCCCCGACCCGATACTCCTTTTTGACGAAAATTTAATGCATAAGGCTTTTTCCCAGTTATAACCAGATTTAGTTTCGCACTTTAGGGTTTGGAGCTGCCTAAAAGGACTGCTCTGCCGACGACGAGAACGATAACCGCTTCCAGATCTGTGCGAGTTTAGTTTCTTGTACCGAATCTTTACAAATCATATCTGCTTCTCCATTATGTAGTTTGTTGATCTGTGCGAGTTTTTGCAATCCAGATCTTAGGTATATCGTAGGTTTAATAAGTTTTATTTTTTGATTTGGAATTTTTATTGCATTCTTCTGGGTTTATCAGAGGTTAGTTTTATTCAAATTTATTTCTGTGCTCGTGTTTAACAATCCAGATCTTGACAATATTCTCATATAATTTTTGTTAATAAGGAATGTTGGGGTTATTGTGGGGTGATTGTGATATTATTATGATTTTATTGTTGTGTTGTGCTATTGTACTGTTGAAAAGACTTTTTTTGCTGCGGCTTTATGGTTTTATTGTTGTGATATTATGGTGTTATTGTCTTTGCGGTATTATCTCTGTAGTATTCCGGTGTTATTTTTTTTAACAAAAGATGTTAGTGTTATTATGAGGTTATTGCGGTATTGTTATGGTTTTATTGTTGTGTTATTGTACTATTAAGAGTATTATTATCGTGTGATTATGGTGTCATTGTCCTTCCTATTGGTGTTATTGTGGGGTAATGGTTTATAGTGTTAACTGGGTATTAGCATTGCGGTATTCTCGTGTTATTTTTATTAACGATTGATGTTGGTGTTATTGTTGGGTTATTGTGGTATTATTATGGTTTATTATTGTGATATTGTACCGTCTAAAAGAGTTTTATTGCTGCGGCTTTATGGGTTTATTATCGTGTGATTTTGGTGGTAGGTTTTATTATCGTATGATTATGGTGTTATTGTCTTTGCTATTTTAGTAGACGCACTTATTTTACTATTTTCTTATTTGTTTTTCTATAACTTAAATCATTCAATGCAGGAAATGAGGAAGATGGGCGAACAAGTCAAGTACTGTTCATTGAGATAGAGATATGTTGATGGAGAGTTTCTTGATTTCTCGGAGATAATGAGATGGAGTTATTTTGTGATTCATATAATCTTGATCGATAAACAGTAGAAAATTCAGTCGCATCAATGACGAAATGTTGATGGAGAGGAAGTTTTAGGCGGTTCGCACATCTAAAGTTGATTGAGTTATATAATCTGATGTCAACGCTGAATATGTCATTTGTATAAAGTAAGTCGTAATGAGTTTGTTAAATTGTGGGAACAGAAGAAAATGTAAGTGTCAGTTTTGGTGGTGTTCTGGACTTCTCAAGTCTGATGTGAATGGTGTTCCGTCAGGTGAACCAGTTCGAACACCATTCACATGAGACTTAAGGAGTGCAGAACATCAAAACTGACAATTACATTTTCTTCTGTTCCCACAATTTAACAAACTCATTACGACTTACTTGATACAAATCACATCATCACCATTGTCATAAGATTATATAACCCGGTCAATTTTAGATGTGCGAACAGACTGAAACTTCCTCTCAATTAACCTTTGACCATAGATTGGAATGATTTTTCGACTGTCTATCAATCAAGAATAAAAACTACATCATTCCGACGATATTCGACAAGTTGTAATATTGTGGTATTATTAGTAATTTATTCGAGTATTATTTATTTATTATTTCTTATGTAGTATATTGTTTTATTGCGGAGTGATTGGCGTATTATTAACTTATCTGTTTATCAACAACGCGGTGATGTATTATTATTGTTGTATTGTGATATTATTCGAGTCTTATTGTGGTGGTATTAATGTGATTACTTCCGACGTAAATTTTTTGATGCCCTGCAGTGTTACCGTCGTTTTAATGTTGTTTTATTATGTTTTAATTTAGTGGAGTATAAGTATGATTGTATTATGGTAACATCTGAGAGTTCTTTGAAATTTTATTAATTTTATATCACGTGGGACCCGGCTGTACTCCCGCCCGATAGTTACCTAATTAATTGAAAGAATAGAATACGAAACGTCTATCGAAAAAGAACTCTGAAGCAAAACCGATAGACACACGACCACTTTTGCCATTCGCCATTTGTTTAGGGTTTCGAGTCTTCGTTCGTTCGCCGGTCGAAGTACATTACTCTATTCACCGCTAGAGTACAGTTGATCAAGATGGAAGTCGAGTCTTCTGAGATGGAAATAGGAAGCCCGGAAGCCGTTCAAAGCCGAGGAGCCATTGTCAATGGAAACCGAAGATGAGCCTTCAAGAATGCAGTCGAAGAAAAAAACCAGTGATCGTAAGAAGAAGGTTGCTGAAGAGGGTTCCGCAAGATATATTTTGTTTTTTTTGTTGTTTTTTCTTCTTCTAAATACATTTGTTATTCGAAATGCATTTCTAAACAATACCGTGATAAAATGAAGTTATTTATTTAGGATAGGGTTTATTAAGATTTCTCGGTTGTTTTTTCATCTTCTAAAACTATGGTTCTCCCAGTTAATACTGATATTACGGTGATAAAATGCAGTTCCTTTAAAAAAAATGCTAATAATAAAGTCAAATAAAACCCTAATAATATCATTAAGTCAAATAAAACCTTAATATTACCATAAAATTACCATAGTATTACAAGAATAATACCATCGAAATATTAAGACAATAATATCATAATAACACAATAATACAACCACACCGAAAACCTCAGTCGTACGTTAATAATATCACCGAGATATAACCACAATATTACCTTAAAAGTACCGTGAGATGTAACCACAATATTACCTTAAAAGTATCGTAGTACTACAAGAATAATGCCATCGAAATATTACCACAATAATACCATAATAACACAATAATACAACAACAACAGCAAAACATCTGATATTTGTTGAATTGTCCTATTTTTTATGGGTTTGTTAACCCACGTTCAATGAGCTGTAGATGTCGACCATCTGTGGTCAGAGATGCCCTGGATAAAGTGAGGCATTCAATATCCGAGGATATCAGAGACGAGCTAAGAGCAATGAATGTTGTACAGTTTTTTGACCTCCCTCCATATCCGTAAGAGAATGTTTTGACACTACAGATCTTGCAATGTTGGCAGCAAGATAAAATGGTTTTCAAAATTAGAGGGAAGGAGTTGCGGCTGTTGCCCGAGAAATTGCCCTTTTGATCGGCATACCAAATAAAGGAGAAGTGTCAAAGTGGATGAAAGTTTCATCATGTGGTGTGGACGCCCGCAGAATGATCAAAATGATATTTTTTCATCATGAGTCTTCTACCCCTTTTAATCAATTGTATATAATTTTTTTATTATCAAATTTATTTTTTCCTTCCAGTAATTTCAGTGTATCCAAAGGATTTTACACTTTTGGGAGAACATAGAGACATTTGACTCATTTAATTGGTCTGCTGCGCTCTGTGATTTTCTTATATTATAGAACAAATCAATTCAGTGACCATCAAATTATTGAGGAACAAACCGATTGGATACATAAATGAATTTCTTTATTTGCTTACGGTCAGCATATTGTAGATCTTGAACATGGTTAATGTTTATTAATAATCTTTTATGCTCCATATTGTCTATCTTTTATGCAGCTCTAGTTTTTTGAGCATACTTCTATGGTAACGCCTGTAAATGCTGATGTCAGACCGATGATGTTGAGATGACCAACAATTGTTAGCTTGAACTCCTTGCAAATAGATGTGGCCTTTAAGAGGCTGATCAGTGAACAGACAAGTCATTTACGCTGTTGTTCAATAACTTATTTTAAGAATAGTAATTAAGGTTTCTGTTAACTGAAATGTCTTGCAAGTCAATGATAAATTCTTGGACCTACAAGAGAAGGGACAAAATTTCCTTGCCAATCCAGATGAGGGACTTCCTGATGTTTCTGCGATGGGAGCCGCCCCTCCTGTAGCATTTGATATGGGGCCCGTTGTTGAAGGGGAAAGAGCCCTAGTACCAATTTTCAATGTAATGAACAATAACCTGGAATCTCTGATTGATCTTATCAAAGGACAGGAGAAATGGTTCAGGGAGTTCCGAGAGACTCTAAATATAATTATTGTTGGAGTTTCGGGTCTGTAAGACCAGATGTTGAAATTACATAATAAAATGGAAAAACATGAAAATGACAGTGTCTTGCAGGAAAGTTTCAGAAGCTGACAACCTCCTTCCATATCCGCAAGAGAATGTTTTGACCCTACAGATCTTGCAATGTTGACAGCAAGATAAAATAGTTTTCAAAATTGGAGGGAATGAGTAGCGGTTGTTGCCCGATGAAGTTGCCCTGCTAATTGGCATGTCAAACAGAGGTGCAGTGCCAAAGTGGAGCAAACGTCCGTCTTGTGGCGTGGATTCCCAGCAGATGAGGAACAATCTCTTGGACTTCGCAAGAGGGGGGTCTTCTACCCCTTTTGCTAAATTGTTTATAAAATTTTTGTTATCTAATCTACTCTTTTGCTCGAACAAATTTAGTGTTCCCCAAGGACTTAACAACTTTAGGGAGAACATAGAGACATTTGACTCATTTAATTGGTCTGTTGCGCTCTGTGATTTTCTTATCGAACAAATCAATTCAGTGACCATCAAATTATTGAGGAACAAGCCGATTGGATACATAAATGGGTTTCTTTATTTGCTTACGGTCAGCATATTGTAGATCTTGAACATGGATAATGTTTACTAATAATATTTTTTGCTCAATATTGTCTATCTTTTATGCACCTCTGGTTTTTTTAGCATACTTTTGTGGTAACACCTGCCAATGCTGGTGCCAGACCGAGGATGTTGAGATGGCCAACAACTGTTAGCGTGAACTCCTCGCAAATAGATGTGGCCTTTAAGAGGCTGACCAGTGAACAGGCAAGTCATTTACGCTGTTGTTCAATAACTTATTTTAAGAATAGTAATTAAGGTTTCTGTTATCTGAAATGTCTTGCAGGTCAATGATAAATTTTTGGACCTACAAGAGGAGGAACAAAATTTTCTCTGAATTTCGTTAGCCTGAGATTAGAGCAGAACCTCCTGTAGCATTTGATATGGGGCCCGTTGTTGAAGGGGAAAGAGCCCCAGTACCAATTTTCAATGTAATGAACAAGAACCTGGAATCTCTGATTGATCTTATCAAAGGACAGGTGAAATGGTTCAGGGAGTTCCGAGAGACCCTAAATACAATTACTGTTGGAGTTTCGGGTC